CTTCACCTAGTAAGTGCCATGTTGTCTTGTTGGTTGCCCACTTTGAAAATATTTCCCAAAGAAAGATGGCTCTAGCATTTATTATTCAAGAGGAAAACTGTAATCCTAATAGTGAAGCTGACCTAAGCAACAAACTCCTTTGTCCATCATTATTCATCATCAAAATCAACTCGTATGATGATATTATACAAGAGTTTTGAATCTGGACGTTTGGAGGTGAGGAATGTACTATAGTATCATGGCTGTTATTTCATAAATTCATTCTTTGATTTAGCCTAGGACATCCTTGAATCTTACAGAGGTACTCATTGATGACAAAACTATGTGAAAATATAAACCTTTTAAAGAACTATGAGAACATGAACTGTAACAGGAGAAGAGCAAGCCTGCCCTGCTCTGCTGCAACATATTTCATGAATGAATGAAACATACTCCAAAAATGTGATGCTCACACAAACAAAAGCAAAAAAGCCTGCTCTGGAGGAAATCACTGAAAATAATAAGCTTGGGACTGGATAGTTGTGTGTTTTCTGCCTTACCCAGGTCCTGTGATTTTGTACTGTCCCAAAAAAAACAACAGGACTGATATCTGACTCTTGCCACATCACATATACAGACTATTAATGGAACTGCTGCCTTGGAGATCACGGCAAACATCAGCAAAGTCAACATCAGGGAGTGGCAGGCACTGTTGTCTTCACACAGTGTGAGGGAATAAAGAATAGTGTCACAGAGAAATCAGCACAAAAATCAAACACAGTTGACTTTCGTCTCTAAAAATGTGATTGAGTAGATATAGAATTCAATTTGTTTCCCCTCCGCAGTTCATATTTTTAGCACAGGACAATGACACATGTTCCTTGGCAAGAGGAAAATGGAGAGAAGAGACAGAAGTGGAGAAAGATGTTCTGATGTGGCAGCCCTAAATTATATTTATGTCTAATTCATAATAGTGAGCTGAGGTTGAATTTGGGGAGTATGGGCACTGGGTAATGTGTTTTCAGGGTACTGGAACAGGACAGGATGTCCTCAACAGTACTGGAACCTCTCAGAATCAACATGACCTGCACGACTGATCATCTAAATCAACATATAGCCCAGATTTAACTTGTTGTACTACAACAGACAGACTATAATGATCTAAGTCTTAAATTATATAACTTTGCATTGCAAGCTGCTTCATATTTACATTTTCCATGGCTTATGAAACTCAATAGTGTAAAAAACTACAAATGCCTTTTTCAGTTATGTGTGTTATGACACAGAAAATCCAATATCAGTTATAGTTAAGTTTTTTCTCTGTGAGCTGGACCAATTATCAAGTGTTCCCTCAACCCCCCAATGATCCATAACCACTGTGCCACGGGCATTGTGCTTACTATTGAAGAGACCAGAGAAATACAGAGATGGAGAATAATGATCAGGAGAGATTCTGTAGTGTAGCTGAAGATAGGCAGGAACAGACAATAACAAAATGTAATAAATGCGGCCAGGCAGAGCAATTTTATTAGGATTTTATGCATCTTGTACTTGTCAAAATACATCTTGTTTAATACGTCAATACGTCTTGATTTAAATTCACCAAAAAGGAAATATAAGTGTTCCAAAAATAACACTGTTCTTACTGTTGCACTTTCTAAAATAGTGTTTATGTAAAGTTAGCTACCCCATTATGTGAAAAAATATTGAAAGCAACTTGGGGATGACATCACTCAGATTGATAATGATTGGCTCAAGAAGAGGTGGCAGCACCTACAGAAAATAATTTTTATTATAGTAATATTATGCAGAGCTGATTGTTTCCTCACAACCACTTCCTCTGAAAGATGTGTATCACTGCGTTTGCTGTCTGCTGGCCCAGTTAAGCTTCTGTTGTGTCTACTGAGCAGGCTGCTGTCCCACATTTTCTCCCTCTTTGTTACCACAGAGACACATTGACCACATCGCTAAAACCACTGGATGGTGGTTAACTGCCACCAGTGCTCCAAATTCAAGAAATGTGTACTTGATTCCTCTTGAGTAAAAATAGTGACATGAATGTGTTATCAATGTTTGTCTGTTCTTTGTTTTTCATCAAATACAAAGGTCGGCGAAAGGCATAATATGTAAATCCAATTATGACTTTAAACAAGAATGGCTCCTAGAACAGTAGAAGTAGGATTAAATTAATTACAGTGATACAAGTAAGAGCAGAGCTCTGCTCACTGTAGACCCAATTACTTAATGTGTTGCTCAACAGTCAAGGTTCATTCTAATTTGATTGCATGCAGAATCTCAGGTTGACTAAAAATAGTGACTGAAATCTAAAATCAGTTCTCAAAGAAAGACTTTTTTGCCCCCAGTTATAGAATAAAACTGAATGAATTCAGGTCAAACAGTCTGTGTGATCAGTGAATGGATGCGTTTCATAACATTAATACAGCTTTGATTTCATGGGAAGAAAGTCACATGATGCAAAAGAGATCTACACACTGGTTCATTTTTAATCAAAAGGAGGTTACATTCATATCCAACACAGTAACATACCACACATGGTGATATGTAATTTCTAAACAGGTTTATCCAATATAGTACACATGCAAGGTGTTTCAGTCTGCCCATGCTCTCTATGAGGGAGTTCATAAAAGACAGAATACAAGTTGTTCTATGTATTACTCTATTAAGTTTGCAAGGATTTTGTGGGCTTTGGGCTGTATAGTGATGATGCATCATTCCAAACATTTATTTTGCCTTGTGATAAAATACAAATAATTAAACTCATACTACTATGGCAGTAAAACTTACAATCAATATTGTGAAAATGTGATGAATCACAGCAAAATTTAAGTTTTTAATGATCGCTCGAATAGAATGTGTACAAATTATATATTACAATATAAAAAATGCTAATCTGCACATAAGCAATAAATAAATAAATAAATGAAAAATCCTATGCTGCTCAATATTCCACATTTAATTTCACACAGGAAACCTGCATTGAGTTACAACACACAGGATCAGGATAATGCAATACCAATATTTAAGTGTAAAATATCATAAGTGGTCACTTTATTAGTTGTTTTCTGCATACACAACCTACTACAACGAGTCAGTCACTTCCCTACAAGAGGGCCTACATCACAAAGGAAAGTCAGACTGTGTCAAGGTTGCCAATAAAATAATGATTATGCTGATGAGCTTCTTAAAATGAACAAACTGCAAAGCACAAATAAGTCTCTTCAAGTAGAATAAATCTAGAGAGAAGAGGAAATAAAGTGAACAGCAAAATGTTAACCACCCTCAATGAACATATGTACAAAGCAGAATATATAGATGTAAATTCAACCACAAAAGCCAAAAATTTCAAAGCCAAAAGTTCAATTTTTGAATTCTTCTTTGTGGTCTGATTCAAAACGTCCCGACCATCTGCCATAATGAGATTGTTCTATAAACAACCCAATCTGTTTGCTCAAGCAGCTTGGTTTGACCCACAGTTACCTCCTGTATGTTTCACTGTGACAGTCACATAGTTGCCATAGTAATAGGATGTGAGCAAAAAGGAGGATGAGTGGTGAGGTCCTGATGTGGAGCAAAATGATTCCCGCTCAAGATATTTGTGGATTTTTCATCAATATTTTTGACAACTTCTAAACAAAAACCCTTGTCATGTCTCAAATCTTAATTATTTCATTTGCAGTAACATGGCAGCGTTTGTCTAGTTTTGTAATACTGATAATTTTTGTGTTTAGTCTGAAAAAGTAATGTAACGGGCAGTTAGTACAACTGCTCTGATTATACATCACAAATCTCAGTTCAAAGTGTTATAAAAATACTATCTCTACAGATTGGGATAAATGCTGTCAGGAATGTGTATTTATAACTTCTCAGTGACCTTTCAAGTCCAGTTCTTTTCATCAAATAACCTTTGCTCACTCATCTCTGCAATGCAGTAATTAAATATATTCCAGTGCACAGAAGGTTTTTTGTCGAAAAACAATCAGCATCGACCCTTGTTATATCACAAATGTGAAATTGATGTAATTCTGTCTTTAATTTTAAGTAACTGAATTTTTTTAAATACCATATGTGATTTACCTCTCTAATAATGAGAATTTCCATGGTACAATTATATAACCATTATTATCATGTTGTTTTAAACACAGGAAAACTCTTCAATAATTTGTTAACCCATTATAACCTAGTGTAGAATAATTGCTTATAAATATGTTTAAATAATGTAATTTACAGCATTCAAAGAGGATCTAAAATACATAATGTCAACGTGGTAATAAAAAGTCAATGACTGCATAAAAAAAACAAACAGCTAAATGCATCTAGAAAAATAACAAGACGCTTACATAAAAATGGGAGCCAAAAAAAGGGGGATGGGTTGTTTCGTGGATGAGATTTGATGCCTCACAACAGATTTTAAGTCAGCAGGTTTCAAGGCCAACCACAACTAAATTGGATTTTGAAGTTCCTAAAAGAGCCTCCACTTAGTCGACAAACCATGTCTGCAATGTTCAGGGAACTGAATTTTTCCAGTTTAGTTCTCTCGCTAACAATGAGGAGATATCAACAGATTCTAATGAGGCATTCATAGACTGTGTTGCTGTTGTTTTTGGTGTCTATTCATGTTGAATAATTATCTTCTCTGCACTGTTGAATGAGTGGTAGGAAGCTCTACAAGTTCCAAAATTCCACCTCCAGTGTGGTTATATCATTTTGTTCAACTCCTGCACAACTCCACTTTATTTGGCGGACAGTGCACACACAGCGAAAATAACATTAGCATCCAAACTGAGACAAAGCTCAGTGCTCGTTATTGTAACTATGGTGATTAATTTCCTCTCTTTTGACTCTAACCCGTATCAACATCTGTTGAAACAAAAGCAAAAAGGTGCAGGGCAGGGGAAAAACCTTTGTTTGTGGGTAACCTTCTACTTTTTAGAACATAAGCAGAAATATATTTTACGATCAATATCACTGCTGGATGTTTTTAGACATGCCATTCATCAATGTCCTCAACTTACAGAGAGGTATCTAAAGGGACCGAATGCATGGAGATGGTGTTGATTAAAGAAATAATCAAGCATGTCTCCTCTCCAATGGTGATTCACAGTATTAAGAGATAATGTCGAAGGGTTATGAATGATCTACAGTGTATAGGTCCGCTTTTATGTCCGCTGTGCTCTTCGGATTTGGTCAAACAGATCTCCGCTGACCTTGCGCATGAGCCCTGTTGACCATGTCCTGGTACATCTTGGACCTTAGAAATCGTGGGTAGGAGTCCTTCTCCATGAGGCTGTAGATTTTGCCTTGGACCTCGTCAAAACTGGTTGGGGAAGGATCTGCCAGGATCTGCTTAGTCTTTTCCCTGGTGCGATAGTCAATGTTTACCTTCAGAGCAAAGAGAACATAACCTTTTTAAAAAAAGTCAATTGAATTATTTATCAGTTGATTTTAAACCACTATCCTAAAGAATACATATATATACATTTGCAAATATATCGCACGCAAACACACCTCTCTTGGTGACTGGACCTCAATGAACTCCTTAAATATTTTGTTTGCCTTTGACACAAGCTTGGTTGAGCTCTTGATCTTTTTGTACTCCTCACACGCCATCCAAAATTCTATGTTTTCATCACTGAACTCTGACTTGAGAAACGTCCTGAATGCAGCCAGCCCATCTGGAAAGAGCAGATTTGGAAAGTTAAGAAATGAGTTAAACCAAACAAAAACACATGAAAAACCTTGATGCCATTAGAGGGAAATTCTTCTTCTTTGCAGTTTCATATAAAACAACCTGGTCAAATTATTGTGTCCTTAATTTTGTGTTGCTATCTTTCCACTGAATGCGTACTGACTTAGTAGGAAATGGTCTTTTTCAAATGGTCTTTTTAACACAAACAAATATTTACAAATGCAAAATACTCCCTCAAAATATGTATTTGTTATTTTTATCAGTGGAGATAAGTGATGATTTAGTGTGGTTATGGATGGCAGAGGAAGGGCATGTTTTTCTGTGAGCCTGTGTCACGCTGACATGTTGATTCCACCTTTCTCATTTCTTCTGTTTACCTCACAGTCCTGGGAGAGAAGGGATCTGATCCATTGCTCATTTGGAAACATGCAATCGTGTGAACAACAACACCGTGCATGCATAGGTGGACACACGGGGAAAACATGGAGCAAACACTTGTCTGATGTTTGAAAATGTCCAATAATGAGTGTTAGTCTTAAAAGCTCAACTTTGAGGACTCCTCTTTTAAACAAGTCGATAAGGGGAAGGCTTCGACTACAGAAGATCACACTTAGTAGCCTCCTCTGTAATGTCTTTCTCAGGTGGAGATGAGTGTTGCCAATAGTTGTCTGGAATTCAGAGTGAGTTCTTGACCAACACAAGCTGTGTTTATGTGTTTTATTGAGTTATGGCTTGGGTTGTGATAGAGACTGAAAGCTTTTTTCATGGTAATAGCAGGATACCCAGATGTTTTTTAACTAAATTCAAATTGAACTTAGTCAAAAGCTCGGTCAAAAACCCTTGTACAGGAATCCAAGTGGAGGGCCGTCTTTTTGGAGATGATACAATAATATTGACCCCCTCATCAAAGAGAGAGGGAGAGTTTGAGAGCTGGTGAATAAGCACATTTAAGTCTGAAGCCAGGGTTCTCAGTTAAAACAGGTTGTTCTCTGTCATTAAGAATTAAGAGATTAACTGCAGTTTAATTTGTCAGTTTGCCAGCACAGCTGGCCACTCACTAGAATGACTAGATTTTAAGTAAAAGTGGAGTGGAGGTCTCCTGAGAGCTTCTTGTCTTTCTATTGGGGAGAGCATAGATAGAGGTGGCATTTCATCAAAAAGAGGTGGCTGAGATGGTCAGGATGCTTTCTGAAGTCTGCTAGTCTTCTCCAGTTTGGGAGGCATGACTCTACTCTCTCTGAATTAAGAGGCTTGAAGGGATCCCAACTCAGAATGTTACTCTTTCGTCACTGTTATGCCAAAGAAAATGAGTAAATATATTATTCTAAACTTAGTCAGAACGTACTTCAATTTAAAGAACATGTTGGTGTTTTGTTGCATAAAAGAATATGTCGGACAGGACCATCAATTTATAATTAGATGTTTGCTGTACTCCAAGTCAAGTTCAGAACTGGAGTTTTTGGTCAAGTGTTTGAAGTGGTCAGCCATGCTAAGTGAGCGGATTTCCAATGATCTCTACTTACCACATGGACAAGTTCTCCAGTAAAGTGCTCTCCATGCCTCTGCTGTGAAAGGTAAAATTTCTATCCACTGATTTGCAACTGTTTCTAATTTATGACATGAACAGCAGAAATACAATTTTCTGAAAGAATACAGCACAAGAGGCTTCTTATTTAGACCAACATCCCTGTAATTATTGACATACTGATACCCAGAACCAGGTTATCGACCGAAGTCTGTCTGATGTCATTAAAATGTCTACATTTTTGTGACATTTCTAACTGTCCCTGTGCACAACCATTAGATAAGAACCATAGCAAATATAACTAAATATGTGTTATCTTTAAGCTACCTTCAATACTTTTTTGTCAGGTGACAGGTTTTGTGCATTTATAGTGTCAAATTCTGTGGAGCAACTAAACCTAGTTTGGCAAAAATTAACTTTTTATAGTATCAGTCACACTGTAGGTTTTTATGCATTTCAGTCTTTTAAGATTGACACAATAATTCTCTTTTCCTGCAGAAATCCCAGTATTAAAAGAGCAAGACTAAAGGGACTGCACAGATAAAGCCTGTTTTGAGGCAGTTAACAGGAAGACTCACGCGGGATCCACGTTTACTCCGTTTTTAGTTAACTGATGATAATGTCCAGACCCAGAAAGTAAATATATCAGTGCATTTAAAACAGCTTGGAGAAAAAATAACAGTGTCAGGCAGCTAAAGCAATAATTAAAAATTCAGGGTGACCATGTGGTCATTTTGAAGCATCCAGGCTATGATCCAAACCCTGTCCTGGATGTAGAACGACTGAAAAGCACAAAGCTGCCATTTGACAGCTTCACAGAGTTCTTCACCAACCGAGCTTTTAGGAGCTGTCAGTAAAGGCAGGTAAGGCTGCCGGGAATCAGCAGCATGTGCTGAAGAATGACACTGCGATGCAGTCAGGTGTGATGAACAGTTCATCCTTTTCAATCAAATTAAAGCTTGTGCAAATTCAGTTTTCTTCCAACGGAACATTCGGTGCTGTGCCATAATAGTCTTATACTTATGTTCTATAAATAGATGTCTGTGTGTGTGTGCTCATGCACATGTTGTGGTGAACTTGTCTGATGCTTCGTCAACTGAATTAGGATGAGCAGGTGTGTCTCTCTCTTTGCCTTTTGAAGGACCTATTCCTGTCTCCTCAACAATCTTCCTGTTTTATCAGGGCAGCATTACCTTTCTAATGCTCATGTGGTAAACTAGTGTCTTATGTCATAACCTCGGGCCAAACAAAACAGAATGCATCCCTGCAATCTCTGAGCCAACAATTGTCTCCTGAAACAAAGAGATAACCAAATCTGAAGGAACTAGTGATCAACCTGAGTTAAGGAAGGAAATATCTAGTTATTCAAGGTGGTGAATTTCAAGTTAGGAAAAAGTAGACCTTGCATACTGACTCATAAAACAGCTGAAATTAATACAGCCAGTGATGCTCAAATTAGGATTTGTTAATTGATTTATTTATTCATTTTCAGTCATCATTTTACATTTCTCTTACAGACTCCAAATGCATTAAACTATTTAATCCTTAAAAATAAACTGGTAGGATTTTTTTGAGTGTGTTTTAATAGCAAATTAACGAATTAACACACTGTGACAGTATTTATATCATCTCGTCTAACTTCAACTTTCAAATTTACAAGAAAATACTACTGAACCATACCCCTTTTTACCTCTCATTTATTAACAACTGTACTAAGCCACAATGGTCCACTTGATTTCTTTTTAATCTGTCAGTTCAGTGTGTTCTAGTTAATAGATGGTATGTCATTATAAGATGAGACATGACCTCTTTGAGTGGAGGGATGTGAGAGGGTGAATCTGTCCCAAAGTGTTTTTGGTCCGAGGGGAAGCTGAAAGGCAAGTATGTACCTCATTATATGCCGAACCCCCTTTCCCAAAATCAGAAAGGGGATTCTTGCAAAACGAGAAAACGGAAGCCAATAGAAAAAGGAAAAGAGCTTTTTTCTGATCCATTGAAAATGGTCTTTGATTTTTTCCAAACCAACTGAAAGTAACTTTTCAAGCAGGGACTATTTCCTCTGGAAAACAGAAAAAGGTTCAAAGTTAACTTACATTTGTGGGATAGAAGGTGATCAAACGATTCAGACCATCGCACAACCTCATCCGTTGACAGTCTGTAGGAGAGACATCCAAAAGGGGACTGCCTGATTAATATGTTAACCAACTGCTGTGCTTTCATACATTTTTACCACCAGATGGGACTGAATGGAATATTGAAGGGGCGTTTAATTTGATGCGTGATTTATGTTCTCTTCAGTGGCGTTAAAAAACTGAAATATAGTTGCATTTAGTGGACGATCACAAAAGAGACAGCAGCAAGTAACTTTCTGTAACTTTGAATTTTAGAAAAGTAAAGCATCTCCAAAAGATGTTGTTTTTATTTCTCTTTGTTAGGGAATACATGTGAAAGACTAATGTTGCACACATAGAAGCTTGTGTATTTACCATGGTTTAAACCAATGTCATACGTTTCTCAATTTGGGTTCTTTACACAAATAGAGTTAGATTACTTCAGTGGGTTGCATTGCATATAATTAGTTGTACTTATTGCTTAACTGAAGTATTTTAAGATGCTGGATGATAACTGACTTGACTGCATCTTATTTTTCAAATTAGTTTGATGTATCACAGCCACATTGATGACTACCATTTGAAATAATGTTACAGAGATTAGCTAATAAATTTGGGCCCATTTGTCAGCATTGTTTGCTTGTGAAATAAACAACATTGAAAATAAGACCAAGATAAAGAAAATCAAAAACAGAATTCTCCAAGACACATATGGTTAAGTGTCAAACTGGAAATGATGATCACATCGAAACAACAGTGGCTTCTCTGGCAGACTCACTTTAGACACCTGGCTGTGGTCTCATGAGCAGGGGGCAGGAACTCAGAAAAATCGTTGTAGGAGTCAGATTTTTTGGACAGGCATCCTAGTCTGGTCTTCATTGTGCAGAACCTGAACATAATAAAAACAAAAGAACACTAAATTGTCTCTCTGCTTTTGTATCTTGTGTCATAGAGTATTGAGGAAGACAACCGTGTGGTCCTGCTGATGTTAACCCTTTGAACGCATACACATGAGAGAAACATGTTATTACAGGGAACAGAAGAAAATCTTTCAAGAAGATCAGCAACCAAAAAATCAAGAAACACTTTCTTCACATTCAACGTCACAACGTTGACCTGTGCTTTCCCCCAAAGGCCAAAGCTTCTAGGGCTCTGTCTTTTTAAAAACTCATTTAAAAATCCATCAATCCATTTCATATTCCATTCATTCCTAGTGGGGTTACGTGTGGTGGACGTGTTGGGGGAGTGGAACCTTTCTTAGCTATCAACAAAACGACTGATAAAAACATAAACTTCAATTAATCAGATTTTGTGTCCTCAGTGCACACATGAAAGACTAAAGCAACTTTCGGAACTAAACATCTTAGTTGATACTAAGAACATACCTACTATTTATAGAAATGTCCTTGCTTACGCAGGCTTCCTTTAAATTATTAAATGACAGATGCTTTGAACTGGTAAAACAAACTTTTCTTTCAGATGAAACAGTGTCTGAATTTTGCAAAGCCAATAACTGATGCTGACATTGATAAAATAGTTAAAAGAGGAAAACTTCATTTGAATCTACCTATTATGCACATCTATATAAAAAAGGTTAATGTAAACTAAAGAAGAAGAAGTATATGTGAAATTGTCAGTGTTTGTTAACCAACTGCAAACTGCCATGCACCTCAGAAGTCAGGAGCACAAGGTTTTAAGGTTACCAAACCACTGTAAGTTTGTTTTGAAGTCTTCTCCTGGGACTTTCATTATACTTCTATGTTTGGGTATGAGTTCAAAAGAAAGAAATTAAACCGCCATTTATTTACTGTTCACAAAAAGGAGGACTTTCTGATTAAATCTAAAAAATGTTTTCTGATGACTTGTATTTATGGTCATCTGATGTTCATCAGCTAAAAGTTATTACCAGGCATCAGCATGAACAGCCAAAAGATTAGATTTAAGTGAAAATAGTCACTGCTTCAACTTGAGGATTAAATTCTGCCTAATCTGGGTTTGGGAAACATTATAGTTTGCTCTATGACTCATTTTGTAACATCAATGCTCTTTTTCTCTCTTACTGGTGATGAGTAATGCACCTTCAGTAAAAGACAGAAACCTGCAGGAGACTCAAACATCTCCCACTCAAATAGAAACACTTTGAGAAAAACTTTTGTTGTGACATTTTGTGCTGGGACCAGATTGGCACACTGAATGTTCTTGGTTTGTATTCATTCTCCTTCTTTTAGATGTTTTTATGCATTAGAAGTTAAATATTCAAGAGGTACCTGCTGAATAAAGTAACACAGAAAGAAAAAGAACACAGAGGAAGCATGGATTGGATGAGACAGAGATGAACATGGAAAACAGGTGCTACTCCATATCCAAAAACATAAGACGGGTTCTGCTTCATTCAAAATGGAGCTCCAGACCTGCTGAAGGCCAAACTTCATTCCCTCCACTCCATGTCCACACAGTAGTACATGTTTGGATACAGGTTTTACATATGTGTTTTTCATACCCTATAATTTATAAAAATGCCACATATCTGCATTTGAATTTATGTTATTTCCAGTTTCCTGATTTCAGTCATCAACAATGTGCAGTCTGAGCATTGTAACAGAAACACATACAGGCAGGATTTATTTAAAGATTAATCATATTAATAACATCATGATATACTTTCTTGTTTTAAAAAAAATATCTAGAACTTTTTGTTGACATCTGTAATTTTGTGAAAACCATGAACAAACAGTGTTGTATTAGCTGTGATATTAAAATTCCAAATAATCAGCCATCTCTCATTCAGGGATTTCAGTGCACTGAAACCAGCCGTTCCCCCACCTCTCTTCACAATCAGTCCTAACTCATTTGTAAGCTGCTGCTGTCATATACTATTTGTCACTCTGCTGCCTCTGGGACACATGGGTTGCACCAGATGGGGCATGGTTATACAGCCACACGTTTCTTCAAAAGGTCTACATCTGTTTGGTAGAGAAATAAATGGTAGTAGTTTTATTTGAGATGTTTTTATAAGTTCAGGTAATTCTTCAATGAAAAGAGACTTCAACAGCAGAATAAATAAATACTTTTTATAATATGCAGCCCTTATGTGTGGGAAAAAGAATGAATTAGGCACTTTTCTAAATTTTAGGATATTCCAGACTGATCTAAATAGATAGTCATGAGTAAGACTACAGATGACACACATTTTAATGGCAAAGAGGTAAACAATCAAACAGGAATATACAGTTAGAATAATTTCTGCTACCAATATTTCCCTCATTATTGTGTTGTTATACACATGAAAGGCCTATGTTGCTCCATTCAGGAAATTCAAAGGTGTATAATAAGGACCCGTGCACAGCATTCTTAATATTAAGCATGTCTTTTAATCCAAGTAGTTTACATTTAAAGCATTTCTATTACGTAAAAGTTACCAGAATAATAGACGCAAACAATAACAAGCTGGAAAGTGACTAAAGCAGCTTATCTATGTCTCTGTTCATACCCATCCAGCCCCTGATTTTATTTTACCCTAACCCACTGATGTTTGAAAAAAAGCTCTTTCAGTGTTTATGTGGGGCATTCCTTTCCCTTTGATGGTATCAGCACAGCGGAAAAATTGGAGCGGTGGATTGTTTTGATGCTGGGGTTTTGAATTGGGAACATTGCATGAAATGTACAGCTCATTACCCAGCTGAAAGCCATTTGCTAGTATTAATGAGCTTTATGTACCAGAAGAATTCCAAGGCTTTGTAAATTGTCACTCTGTGTCCTCCATTTACTCGTGACAGGATGTTTTGATGAGCTACCTGTGTGAGGGAAACAGCATGTGTATTTTCTATTTGGACGGGACTAATTGTCTGTCTTGTTTTTGCCACTGCATTTGAATCCTTTGCAGTCTGCTATGCAATCAAGAGTGCGAAAGTAGGTCAGTTAAATAAGTATATCTTCACAGTTTAACCACCCCAACTAATACATCTGAAAACTGTTCCCAGTTGAACAGAATCACACTCTTTGTATCAGAGGCAGTTAATATGAGGGTAGTTTACATTTCATCTATGTGAGCCATAATCTCCAGGTGAACCCCATTTCTTAACAAATAGCTGCTTTCAGAGTGGATTGGAATGATACTTGAGGGATGATCTAACCTGAGCAGTATGTGCAGATTTAGAGCTCATTGATGAGGGCTGAGTTTTACGTAAGCGGTCAAGAAGGTCATTAGAGAGAGTGTTGACAAAATAATAATAAATGATAAATGATAATAGAAGCACCTGTAATGCTTAATCTAGGGCTAATCCTTTGTGGGAGTAAGCAAGCTATAAAAAAAAGGCTGGAAAAATATCCATTTGCCTAGTGTATAAACGTATATTAATAATGTATTCCTGAGTCCTCAGACAGTTGTAAAGTTGTTAAGATTTCTGCCCTTATTAGCTATTGATGCACTTATAAAGCATTTACCCACATTAACCCACATGATAAATAATATTTGTGACTAAATTTGCTGAATTTAAGTAACAACCAGACGATCAAAACAGTCTGACTGAAGTTGAGCTGATCCCTCATAAAATGTAGAAGAGTCCCAGTGTAATCATTTCTTACCATAATTGATTTTTAAGGCCAATTCAGCTCCCTTTTCTCATTAATCAGGCACATTGTCTTTATTCCCTGGATTAAATGTAATTTGAAACATTCATGTATTTTGTAAAAGCACTTGGAAGTCAATCGAAAGTTCAATTAATGAGTTTTTTTTTTTTTATAGTTAAGATTTAGGTTGGGTTCTATCTTCTAAAACTCAGCTAAGTGCAGCTGGAGACATTTTTACATAAATGATCAGAATATATTGCAGATGATGATTACTTAAAAATGGATAATTATTATTTTGCTCATTGGAATACAAACAGACTCTTAGATTATATTTAATATAAATAGATTATATTACATTGATTTCCTTTACACCTAAAATATTAAAAATTATTTTAACCTCCTAATGAGGTGAGGACATGAAGAGCACTGTCTTAAATTCCTATGTATTGTGCATAAATTTGGGCTAAACTGAGCTTATGTGGTAGTTCATGGGTGGCTTTAGTCTTTTTCAAACATTCACGTTGTTTTTAAGCTCTTTTTAACCTTCTTTGACACAGTATTCTAAAAGCATGTCTGTCAAATTGTGTTTTAGACAGAAAAATCCACAAGCATTAAAAGGTCAAAGGGGTTGGCGCTCATCTAAATCCAAGGACTTTTGTGGAACATTAACATTTTCTGTCTCTCACCGAGCTCCTGTTGTTTCTGGCATTGTTTGTCGGCTTGAATCCATTTTGACAGACATTTTTGCATTCATTAATTATTTTTGTTCATGTTACAGTATTTCGGAAGGTTTGGAAAACTGCTGTGTTGTCTGTCCATTTGGATAGACATTTTTTGCATTCATTAATTATTTTTGTTCATGTTACAGTATTTTAGTAGGTTTGGAAAAATGCTGTGTTGGGTTTTCTCTCTCAAAATGATTGTTTCATCTTGGACAGATTAATTTTCGGTCATCTGTAAGGGTGATGTAACAAGTCTTGTTCCAGGAATGAAGCTGTACAAACTTTATAATCCCCCCCCTTTTTAATACGTTTGCTCCAAACCTTGTAGGATTTCTATGCTGTTTCAGTGCATTTTTATATCAAACATTTTGATGGGTATCCCTATAAGTGTTTGATTGTTTTCTTTTTCATTATCATCAAAGGGGCAGAAATGTTTTGACTCTGATATTGCTGACTCTGTTCATGGCATATGCCAAAATGTGAATGAATAACAGATCTCCATCCTGCTATTTTGTCTTGTCCTATTTCATCTCCTCTTTTGACAAGTCACTATCTCTATGGCTCTTGAGGGCTACATTCTTAGTCTGCGGTATGCAGCAGACACGTGCTGCCGAGCTATTTATAAAAACCCTGACAAATCCATGTAGTCAG